TTCCGCAGCCGTCGCATTCACGGACGTCGCAGTCGTCAAAGGCATACGATTGACGTTTGGTTCACGGCAGTCAGCTCAAAGAGATCATAACACGGATCAACATAAATCATTCGTTTCACTGACACTTCGTGGTACTGTAATGTCTACTCAAGACCTCAGTGGGCTGCGCCGCGCGCGACATAAGAAGGGTGGCCTAGTTCCGACGGACGTTTCCCCCAACCAAGCCTTTCATCCCTTCGGGGTCATTTAACTCGTATTAGACTGGTCTGAGAGGATAAAAGCATTGACTTGTACACTGACCAGCCTCTGCAAATCATTGAATAAGCCGCATTCAGAACGACACTACAATTCTGAATTCTGAAGAAAGTTCTAGGGGTGCAGCATGGCAAAACATAGAAAAAGCCTCCGAAAGGACCTCGATCTTTCACGTTATGTTGAAAGCTCTTGGGCGCTCTATTGTAGTATTACTCGCCAGAGTAAACTCAAATTTGCAGTACTTTTTATATTTTTGTTCCTCCGCTACAATTATAACTACAATCACTCTAACCGGATTCGGTTGCTGAAATTCACCCATTAATCATTAATCATTATCACTCCTCATTAAGAGAGTAATGTGAAAATCACTCGTAATGGAAAAGGATGCCGCTTTTAGTTTTTAGGAATTCGAGAGCTTCAGCGTAACCGACAATTGAATTACTGCAAATGACTAGTAGTGTTGCACCTATGTCCTGCAAAAAACGCGCTCAAAACGATTTTCTGTGGAACGAAATTTTCATGATAGATTCGTTAGTTTTTCGATGAGCAGCAAAGAACACATTCAATCCATTCCGTTACGGCATTAAATGAAAAAGGTGTAATGAACGGAGTAATGTTTCTCTTTGACATAGCATTTGCCTACGTCTATGAGTAGTTCTTCGGAAGGCCGCTNGTGGAACGAAATTTTCATGATAGATTCGTTAGTTTTTCGATGAGCAGCAAAGAACACATTCAATCCATTTCGTTACGGCATCAAATGAAAAAGGTGTAATGAACGGAGTAATGTTTCTCTTTGACATAGCATTTGCCTACGTCTATGAGTAGTTCTTCGGAAGGCCGCTAGTGGAACCAATACCTGCTTTCCGACAGCAATTCTCGTCTTTTATTGGTATGAATTGGTTTGAAGTCAGTTGCTTCACTCCTAAGCTTCAACATTGTCTTTTGCCTTTGCCATTCTTTGACTGCCCTCTGCCTTCTGCCTACTCCACTTTCTACCACTTGGTCGTACCTAGATAATTTCAGAATACTATGAATTGGACATATTTTCTTCATGCTTTCTCGAATCTATCGAAAACTCCATGGTTCAAGTCATACACTCGTAAAATCATCTGCCTTTAGTATATGATCGCTTCTTGCCCGGATTTTAAGCGCTTCCGAAATATTAGCATTCGTGTGCCTCTCGGGAAACGAGACAAACCCTTTGTGGTTAAAAATGACCGTGAGGGGTAATATATTACGAATTCAATGGCCTACTCAATATCCCGGTCAAGCAAGCCTCCCACTCAAAGAACTTCTCTGCCTCTCGACTGACTAACCCAAGACCATTCTTGTGTACAGCTGAGCAGCGAATTCAAACCGCAACAAAGCTTTCTTCCGGATGCAGTGCAAGCAAGCTGCATTACCTTAGATCGAGTGATCCGAGGCCTTCCCAGTGCATAGTTCCGCAACGATTTCAGCGAAGTCAAACTGCAGTAATTTTCGGGTAAACTATTTGATTATTTAAACACCCGGAGTAGTCGTCAGCTTTTTCTTGTCATGTATAGAGAATTGTTGGCATAATTTTAAAAAAAGACCTGTTCGTGGGTGACTGTTGGAGTTTTGTATTCGATTTTGATTGATGGATCGACTCCCAATGAACAACGGAATTCATCTCCAGGCAATACTGTTCGAAGATGAGCCTGTAAAATAAGATCTGAAGTGAGATATAGATACATTTAAACAGATTCACCGAGAATTGTTATCAATCTCGAGGAAAAAATCTTTTCGAATTATCAATTGACAGAAACAGTGTGGTGGTCTCGCTGTGCACGAGCGATTCTCACATCCCCAGGAATCTCGTAGTCAGATGCACAAAAATGTGAAAGTCTGATGACAAACGATCTAGCGCCTTAGCCCTTTTCTGTTCCGACACCTTTCAAAAGAGAAAGATCCCAATATTCAGTGAAACAAGCACGATGTGTTTGTATAGAATAACCCATTAATATCACTCAGATATAGTACCAATACGAATAACGAGGATGGTGGTGTAGCGGCGAGTAGCGCACCTTCACTCCCGCATGGTCTCGGATTCGAGTCCGGATCGATATCCGCCTAACCAACTGAGCCAACCATCAGTCCGGGAAATCGTAGCTGTACCAGGCCCGTCTGGGAGGATAAAAGCACTGACTTGTACATCGGCTGGCCACCGTCAATGTACAGACGACACAGCATTCAATACGTCATTATGATTCTGAATGGGAGCTGAATGCAAGGCGCATTCCTTAGAAGGGATTGATCAACGCTTGAACAGACAAATCCTCTATCCTTCTTACGGGTGACGGGTGATACCACTATGGTTTTGCATCAAGCGTGGCAAAAGTGATAGCTATCGAATGTCATTGTGAATTCTCACTTTGTTCCTTTCGTTCTTTTCTTCCCAGTTCCAGATGTGCTAATGAAGATTCATTGTAGGCAATTGTATCATTTAAAAAAACATGGGCAAACTGGTATGGGTTGGCCCATACCATTGACGTAGGGGATGGAACCAGATAGCTGCCTGTGCTGTGTCCTCGGCTCGACCGCTCAGAGCTCTCCTAATTCGAATAAGAAGAATAAGGTGGCGTAACGTCTCCAACGGAGACTGACGACCTTGTAGCAACTTAGTTTCAATTGCCCACATCAATGACATGAACAGATCTATACCTATGGGTGAAGTTCTTCCTTACAATCAAAGCAAACTCAACCTGTGTCAGTTTCTCTGGGTGCCTTATTAAAGCACCCTCACTTCTTGAAGCCACTTCCCCCCCCCCCAATACTTCATACGCAAAATTACTGCACTGCTGACAAGAATTGAACCATAATAGCTTTTGTATAGGGCAAGGAGGAGCTGGTGAGTCGACTGCGTGCAAGGGACTTGATACAAGAGGCACACACCGCTTGGCCAAGCTCGGGCATCAATTTGTAGTGCATACACCACATTCGTCCCATTTGAAAACCAGCCCTCGAAAGACTATAAAATTTACCTTGGTAACGAATCCGTTGTTCAGATATACAGCAGCATCTCCCGGTGGAAGAGGGAAGGGAGTAGTGTTGGTGATCACAGCTGATAAATAAGCCGACGCACTGCGTGACGGTACACATTCATGAATGAAGGAGCAAGTGAGATCGAACTAAATCACAGCTGAACCGTTAGTGAAAAAAGATAGACAGAGCGATACTTACCATTGCAACGAGTACTTTGTGTTCCACACCGTTACTGGGAATGGTTACCGCTCGTGGAATTGAGAAGCACGAAGACACAAGATTTTCGATACTCTGTAACATCGTAGTGGTCTGAAGGGTACGTCAAGGTTAATAGACTCTGATCAAACCAACCGGTGCTGAAACGCTATTCTCCTCACTGCTTCTACTCAGCTGTGCAGTGTTGTAACGATGAAGTGCTACAGCGTCGGCCATCTCATTACAGTCGAAAGAACCAAAGCCCATGTCTTCTTCAGATGCCGAATACATGGGTTTCCGAAGAGCAGCCGAAGCGTTCCGTTGGCGTTGACTAAAAAAGGGAAAGGATAGGCAGAGAGTATACAAATATTTAGAAACATATTTTCCCTAGTCGGTTCTGCTTTACGGCAGTTCGAAAAATCACCAAAGCCTCTAGAATAGGTCCTGCTTCTCGATCTCACTTTCGGGAAGACATGAAAGCGAGTTTTGCTGTGTTTCGGAGCTAAAGGAGTGACTATGACCTTCTGTTTTTGGTAGTTAATGATTTTATTTCCTTTTACCAAAGTATTTTTTTAAAAGCTCCGTTTGCAGCATAAACATGCCACTTCTGTTTACTCACACGCAAAACATTGCTAGTTGTCTCGCCGCGCGCACTGTCTTAGCTTTGTTATTAGTTGCCTTGTCCCGCGGCTTGTTGTTCTAAAGTAACTCCGGTTAACCCTGTCAGAACATTCGACCATCTTCCACTTTAGCTGGCAGTTATTATCGCATTTTGATGCATTTCATAACATATGAAGCAATCAGGGTAATGAGTTGGAACTTACTAACACATTTGCTTGGTTGATAAGTAATTATGATACAGTGCGCACCAAAATACGCGGACACCTCAAGAACCATGTCTAATTGTAAGTATTTCCCAAGGACTGTTTTGGTGAGAAACTTTGTTGTTCATTGCCTTAAGGCAATAGATTATAATGATATTTTAAAATAACAACAATGTTTTACTTATACGAGTTTTTTTTTCGATTTTTTGCTAGTACCGAGAGTATGTGGACAGCTATTCTCATTCAAGCATGGAGGGAGATTATTGTCAGGTTCGGCTTCCGTCTAGGGCACGTGCGAAACGGAAATCGAACTACATCTTTGGTTTATCCCCATTAATTTTATAAAATTTCTTGAAGTGTAAACATTTATAGTGTGATTCAATCAAATTTTCGCGCAGGTATCCTCGTCGACTATTGGTAGTTCTGTACTCAACTTTTCTATCAACTTAACTCTTCCTGGTTAAGTTTTTTCGGAAGCAAATCTCTCCACGTTGCTGCACACTGTAATCGAAAAATCGGCCTCGTCAGCTTGGTTGTCTACTCAGTTATATCACAGGATTCGTCCAAAATCCTGATTCTTACCGTTCACCTGAGATTGCAGGTTGCCTTCCATCATTATCCCCTCGAGTCAGCAGAAAAATAGCCCAGAACAGATTAAGATTGTCTCTAACTCTTCGTCATCTGTAGACTCGCCCGATGCACAAATAAATCTACCGGTCTCGGGAATGACTCTTTAGGTATTGAGTGATCGAAGGAGCTTCTAACACGAGAGATCTCGCTGAAATTCCCCGCCTGACTACTCAACGCAAGTTTGCAAGACTGGAATTAGCGTGGGAAAACATGAAAGTATTATGGGAAAGGTGCAGTCTGCTAAAAGCTGATTGATGCAAAGTGAACGATATCTTATATACATCTTCTGTTTCCGCCATTTTCACCTATAAGAAAAGTTTAACGTTGATGATACCGGACGGATTCTCCTACTCATTGAAAACTTTCGAAGCGAGCAAGTAGTCTTCTCGAGGAATAATTCTAGAGAAGGTCCGTTAATGATCTATTATAGCTCTAAGAGCACCAAGTAAATGGGGCTCGCCCTTCCATATTGCCGTAAAGGAGTATCAAGGTGTGCATAGGTTCCCTTATTGGCCCCTTTTTCCCTCTTTATATTCCGCTAGCACTGCCTCGGCTGGCACGCCGGCACGCCGGCGGTCTATGATAGCAGCCACTGACGCACTGACCGAAACTATTAGGTGTTCTTCAAACTCAAAATTTCAAAATGCCCGCAAACTTTCTGTACACACTGCATAAACTGGATGGTGGAGGCAGTGTAGTCCTGTGTGAAGCTCTCTATCACACGCATGTCCCACGAGTCCCAAATCGGTATCCGCTGGGTCTAACCACGCTCTTCATACTTGGTTAATTGGTACCAGACTCGTCTTGGAGGACGGTTGGCTGGCTTGTACATCGGGTGCCACCAACTAGTCGTTGCACAGATCATACTTACTTTACTTTAATACTTTGATGATCCTTCGGTAGGAGTCTTTCTCAGTGGGGTCCACATCTTTTCCATAGCGATCAACCTTTTGCGACTCCCATCTAGTGCAATCCGCTTTTTCAAACTGTTTAGAAAACAAACAAGCCACAGGTTCGACGGTCGTCTTGACGATCTCGTTTTGCTTCTTGAAAGCCACTCTGCGACCATGGGACCCCATCTGTCATACGTTCAACGGAGTAGATGACCACCCCGGCGGTGCTTGAAAATGTGTCATGAATGGAAGCCGGCCTTTCTAATCTCTCCTTCAGGTTTGAACTTTGCAAGCCTTGCAGCCATTGCTGGCGTTGGGTCATCCTCAGACAACTTATTTCGATGCGTGATTAGTAGTTCTTATGGCTTTAGCGATTGTTTTGTTGTCAGGGCTCTGAGTTTGGGACTTGGTTGTTCGCATCACGGATTGAACAAGAGCTGCCCACGTAGCACGTCTTTTCCGATTTAGCTTAGGAGAAATACTGTTTATCATGCTCAGCTCTGTTCCCACATATACGCAGGATTCAACGCTTTGTAGAGCTTTGCATCCTAATTTTACTGTTTTCTTATCGCACTATTTGTTCACCATCGATCGCGTTTTGGACACATTCTATCCGCGGCCTACCACAATAAGCTTGTTGATTATCATTTGTATTTCGTTAGTGCTGTTTGATATCAAGACGATATCACTGTACTAACATTTTACCATTGCCGTGGTACCTCCTTTTTCCCATCGAGGTTTAACTTCGCATACTGTAGTGCTGTGGTGAAAATTTCGCAGATCGTATCTCCTTGCAATATCCTTTTTCCAACTGAGACCTTTAGCTTTCGCTCGAATAATTGAAAGCACATTGATGTGTTTCAAAGGCACAGCTCGAGCAGCTGGATGTAGGCGGAACCGATTCCGGTCTGCCCAAGAGCATTCAGAACAGCGTTGACCTCCACAGAGTCGAATGCCTTCTTGTAATCCACGGAAGGAAATGCTAAAGGAAGGCGATCCACTGGGCTTCTCGCAACAAGCTGGATGTTGCTTGGATGTTGTCCATGCACAGAAATTTCTTCCTGAATACAGGCCACTACCTGGATGATATTCGTCCAAAATGCGTTCCATGCTGTTGAGCAGAATTTTCGTGAGCGACTTGTATACCACCGATAATAGACTGACTTGGATAGTCTTCTTGCTGACCTTTCTTCAACGGGAGGAAGGCTTTTGATTCTTTCCACTGTTCTGGAGTACTTCCTAATTTCAGGTAATAGTTGAAGTGCTCTGTAGGGTGTGGAGAGCGGTATCTTTGGAACGAAGCGAATTTGCACGGATGTTATAGGTCATGTTAAACGCATTCAAAACGCACGATTTCGAGTGTAAGAATAAGCGGGAATGGCCACAAGCAAAAGGATTCGTTGTTTTCACTGTGTTCAACCGAAGAGAAAATTGGTGTTTTTTTCGCAGAATTCAGCAGTAGTTTTGATCTCAGAGATACTCATAATTTGCTTGTCCTGGACTGCATGTTTTCACAAATGTTCTCCTGCGACTTGCGAACTGGAGAGAACTCTACACACTGGTGCTTTCTTCGGTATCTCTACGTTCGCACACAGGTTATTGGAGGATCTATAAATGGGAAAAGGCCTCGTTCACTTGGTAGGACGATATATTGCACCTTCGAATTGCTCAATTGAAGAAGAGAAAAATGTAAGTATCATTGCTGATGACCCAATATGGCCCTTGTCATGATTTTTCATTTTGTAAACGGTGACGACAAGTGCATCGCTGGGGGTTAAAGCATCCATAGGTGCCATACGGAAAAACGTTTGAAGTAATGAAATATATGAAACGTTAATAAAATCCAGTGAGATAAGGGAATAATTGAATGAGTAACTTAGTTCCAGTTTCTCGAGTGTCCTTATAGGTAATTAAATTGATAGATTCACCGGCCGACTGTTGTCCGCATTTAAGTAAAGTCAGAAGTAATTGAATTGACTTAAATGAGCTTCCTACTATGGTTCATGTACGGGAAAAGGAAGAAGGAACGGTAATTTGGTCATTAACAGAAGGAAATACGGAATTTTGGATAGGATACAATGGATGGAAGACTAGAAAACATTAGCGAGCTAGTGTTCAAGACACAGCTCGCAATATCTTCCCGCACATACACGGGGATACTACTGTGAATGGATTGATGCGAAGTAGTCCATTGGTGACGAAGACAACGGAAAAATCTGCAAAAATCTCTGGATAGGCGAGCCTTTTCCGAAGTTATCCTCTTCATGGACGGACGGCCGAGATTGTGACGACGAAGAAGGTGTTTGGACGAGGTTTCGGTAGCTGCGGAGCAACCCACATTAGCTTTAGATGCGTCAACTGGACTGGTTGTATTTTCATCAAACCTGCTCCATTTCGAGTATTACCAGTCTCTGCAAGGCAGTTAAGCACCACTCTTTCGGGTCTAATAAGCGGCACTGAAGCTAAGGACTTGTTTCTGAGTTCTTAAATCTCTAATTTGACAACTCTTATATGAGATTCAGCGGAAGAAGATAGATTCGAGTTCGGTCACACGATGCTCTTTTTTGTTCTGAATTCTCGCTTCTCTCATGTCATTCTAATTTTTCTCGTCTTTGACTCATCCTATGGTAAAAGAGATTGTAAATCCCGAGTAGTCGGCTTCATCGTAGATGTTCATGCAACCCTCCTCTAAGAGCAAAAACCGCGAAATATATTAGTGAATAGAGTCGGACAAGCGGTTGTAGCAGTTTTTCGTCGAAGTAGTTACTGGAACTTCGAAGTAAAATTTTAGAGCCGTTGGAACTTCTTCTCCCAGTGCAGTATTTACTACGAGAGCTGCGGAAGAAAACAGAAGAAATCCCATTCAGTTTAAGCTGGAGCTTCAGATGACAGGATGAAAAATCCAATGCAAATTTTCAAGCAGAAAAGACTAAAGGATACAGATTTTTGCGTCGACCAATCGGTTTTGCGATGGACCTCACCATTCCACTTGCGTTCAGAATAGTAGCGACATTTGGAGTGATGTATGGCCAACACAATGATTAGTTATGATGTAGAATATTGCAGTGGTGGCGAAGGAGGCGGGAGTAACAGCAGATCTCAAAAAAGCTTCAAAAGCTCAGTAAGAC